AACGATTCAGGACACTAACCTGGAGCAAGTTCAGATGACAGAGCTGCAGATTTCTGCATACGTGATGACTTCGTATCAGAAAACACAGATCAGGAACAGGCTCAGAATCCGATTCCAGAACAGAGTAAAAGGTTTCCTCCTTGCTACACTCTCAGAGACAGGACTTCTGAGGGCCAGGACACTGCCAACCTCATACTGGGAGCAAAGGCCTCAAGTACTTAAGAAACTCATGACTGAAGCTTGTGTTACTCGGTAGGAGGAAACCAGGACATAGGCCCTAGCAGCTGGAACTGCTGACAAAGTGTAACACAGCCCCAAGTCATCGGCAGGGGCTTCAGGACTCTTCCTGCCTGCAGTGCTTCAGTGATTAGAATAGCCAGGAGTCCCCAGAAGGATTCTGAGGAGTCTCCAGTACCCCCAGCAAGCCAGTCCACTGTGCCTTGGGGGCCTTTGTCTAGCATGGCTCCTCGGGACAAGGTAGGCACTCTCAGATCTTGTCCTGACTCAGCCTGGTAAACTGTACTGGGATCAAAGGGTCCCCTAATGTAACAGGAGATTACAACAATAGCAACAACAAAAGATACATCAAGATTAACAGGGAATGGAAGCCAGTTTGTAGAGAAAGACCCAAAGCCCTTCCTTTCTGTGGCATCATGAACAGAGCCTGAAGAAAATACGAATGGGGAGAAGGGGCTGTAAGAGACCATACACCTGTAGGGTAGATAATTTTTAGATTCTTTGCTCAACTAATAGCCCATTTCCATTCTTGGGAGTGTTTTTCTCCTTTTCTTATTTGTATAGGTGTTTTGTCTAGAAGTATATGTATGCACATGTTCATGCAGCACCCAGAGAGGCCAGAAGAGGGCGCCAGATCCCACAAAAGTTAGGTAAGGTTGTGAATTACTATTTGGTTCCTTGGAATCAAACCTGGGTCCTCTGGTCCTGTCTTAACAGCTAAGCCATCTCTCCAGCCCCAGTTTTTCCCTCCCTCCTTTCCTCCCTCCCTCCTTTTTTCCCTCCCTCCCCCCTTTTCTCCCTCCCTCCCTCCCTCCCTCCCTCCTTCCCTCTTTTGATTTTAGGAGACTAGGTTTCTCTGTGTAGCCCTGGCTGTCCTGAATTTGCTCTGTAGACCAGGCTGGCTTCAAACTCACAAAGATCTGCCTGCCTCTACTGCCTGAGTGCTGGGATCAAAGGCATGTGCCTTTTCCATTTCTTGATAAGTTGTCTAATTTTATTTCATGCCTAATTTAAAAGACATGACCTTTTTCTCCATCTCCTGGCAGCTATTGGAGTTTTCAACTAGCCTTTATTGTTCTTTTCACACTCTGATAAAGTTATCCTTCGCTTCTTTTGTGTCCCTTCTAAATTCTTGTATTAATGATACCAAGAACCCTCAAAAGAATCTTACTTTTTCCAGGAACAAAAGGAGAGGAGTATTCTGACTGATTCCTCAGGTCCTCCACAGGTGGAGCTAGAGCTAGATTGGTAAGGTCAAGGACTCTGGGGAGAGGATGAAGGCTCACCTGCCATATGGCGTTTGGGCTTTCACGCTGGCAAGCAGAAGCTGAAAGCCATCCAGTGCAGGATACTTCAAGGCTGGTATGTCAGCCCCACCTCAGCTTGCACACAGGAATGCTACTACTCCTGCTTGTCTGAGGCCAGGATGGAAGTCCCCTCTTGTTCTACAGAATGAGGGGTGCCTGCTCTCCCCCCACAAGCCTCGTGCAACAGCACAGTTGCACAGTTTTGTAGGGATTGCACAGCAAGTCATTCACCTGCACTGAACTAACTTTTTTTTTAAATATCGAAAGCTAACACACCAACTTTCCTAGTCACTTTTTAAATATAATAAATGCACTTGCTACTGTAAAAAAAAATCCCTCCTTGGTCACACATTCATCTAATTAGTTTTAAAATGAATTAACATGTATTTATTAAGTGTATCTGTATACATGTGAAGGTCAGGCGACAACTTGCCAGACTCCTTTCCTAGCACGGTGGGTTTCAGGGGATTGAACTAGAGTTGACAGGCTTGGCAGCAAGCATCTTTACCTGCTGGACCATCTCATGGGTTCTAATTTGTGATACTCTATCTTTATTATCTTGATACTGAAAATTTACAGATTTGGCTAGTGGGTCGTCAGGAAAGCTCCGGTGTCATCTTACACATTCCCATTCATCACCACTGTTAGCGGTCCTTCTAGGCGCCACCTCAGTTACCTGGCAACAGCCAGCTTTCTTTTTTTGAATCATTAACTTTATTTGTCACTCTATATAGATATTGGTCCATTTCCACATGAACAGTAGCAATTATCCACTTCCACTTAATAGTCTACAGATTGAAGCCGTACCACACACAAACCAGAGTAACTTCACAGGGGGAGAGTTACAGAAATAAAAATAGTTTATATTCATGCTTCAAGGTATCCCCCACAGATTTGTTTTTATATATCTAGTTACAAGCATCTATATTTCACAAAGTTAGTCTCTTCTGAAATCAACATAGTATTTTTAATATTTTTAATACCTCTACTAAACCACACGGATCACCAAACTTGCAGAAGAGATTAAAAACAGCTAGCTTGCCAGTCATATTCACTTGCAGAACTAAGCGATTGTATAAGCATAACCAGTATTTTTTTGGGCTGCTCTTAATTAACATATTTCCTCCTGTCTCAGAGATATTTACATCAGATCAAGACATTTACAAACAGTTCATAGTGAATAACAGCTGAACTAGGCAGCCTGTGCAAGGAACTCAAGCATTTGAAAGCTTCTCTAAGAAACCCATGAATTCTCCAACACGGATAACACAACTATTCTAAGTGGTTTACATTTCTTTCAGTGTGTATTTCCACATATATTAAATGAAATGAAATTACATTATTAAATGGCTATGTCAACTATATTTGAGCATATTATGGAATCTATATCACAATTCAACTTCTCAACACTATAAATCACTCTAAAGAAACAATAGGCACACACAAAATAGAGAACAAAATCTATGTTTTTTAGTAAATTTAAGGTATACTGTCTACTTTAAACAACACTAAAAGATATACTTTAACAAAACAGCCAATTACCAAACCTGTTGTCTAAGTCTAGCATAAGGAAAATTCAATCCATTCGAATCTTCTGGTTTGTCATCCTGTAGATGATGCTATCATATCCAGGATCCATATTCCAAATGTTGTAAGACGTGATTATCACAGCCAAGGCCACGCCGATCATAATCCACAGTGCCAAGTTGAAAACCACTGAATACTCCAAATTATACTTATACGCGAGGTTATAGGGACTTTGGGGGTTCTCTTGTTTTGTCTCAAGGATGGTCCTTGACTTCCTCACAAGGGATGTGTCGAAGGATTTGACAGTCACTAATTCTACCACTGCATTCCCACCATAGAGACTGTACATGTCATCTGCAAACTTTTGGAGAGCATCAACAAGAATCCTAGAAGCATCCCTGAATTGTTCAGAGTCTTCCCCATAACGCTTCCCAAGTTCATCCAAACCTGCCAGCTCCAGTGAATACAAGTCAGGAGAATGATCCTTGGCTAGATGCTTATGACGAGACAACAAACTTGAAATATCACGTAGCACTTGCAGTTCAGAAAGAAAGAGCAGGTCAACTTCATTATTCCTACTCAGAGAATTGAGGGGAAGAGAGTTGAGAACGGAGTTTTCTTGAAACAGGCGATTAAGGAGCTGCCGCAATGTGACTGAAAGGTCTTCAAACACCGAGTTTGCTTTCCCCACCATATACACTCTCTCCTCACTGGGAGCCAACTGCAAAACCACAGGAGTTTCCTCCGAAAATAAGGAGTGAATGGAATTTGCAACATTGTCAAGACTAAAAGGAACTGCATTCTCCAAAGGGTAGGAAATGACGCTGCCTGTGGGGAGAGCCAGTTTATCCACCCCCTTCACCATCACCATAATGGTAGCCCGTGGCCGGTGGAATAGGTTACTCACGGCAAGCCCTGGCCAAGACAGGTCTTCCTTCACGGAGAAGCCCATGAACAGTGCGGCTACATCTGGGATTCGATCTCCTGGTATAGGCCAATTTCCATTTCGGAAAACAACAGACCCTGGCGATCTTAATATGCTAAATTCATTCCCTAAAGCACCCGGCACCAGAAAGGACAGGAGAACGACGAACACAGCCATGGTGCCAGGGCTGATGAAGGGAGATGTGCTACACGAAAAGGGACGCCGGGACTCGAGCGAGCACCGCAACTCGACCGAGTGACGCGCTCCGGAAGTAACAGCCAGCTTTCTATAAAAGGGCCAAGGGCCGGTGACCCCTCCTCTCCCTGACCTCTTTCTCTCCTTCCCCCTCCCCGCCTCCACGTGTTACCGGCCGGCCTCTCCTCTCCCCCCACCGCCCCCCTCTCTTCCTCTACACCTTTCCCATTCCCTGAATTAACTCTAGTCCATACTATAACCGTAGTATGGCTCAGGGGGAAGGGATGCTTCAGCCTGGGCCTGCTCGAGGCACCTTTTCCACCTCATCATACCGCGCCTCAACCAAAACATATCCTAGCCTCTTCTTTTTTAAATAAAACAGAACAACCACTGTCCTTACATTCTAGTACAAGGCATCCCAAGTTGGTATTTCTGGAACTGGCTTTTTCATCAAGGAAGCCCTTTCCGCCCAGAATTTTTGCGACACGGTCTCATGTTTCCCAAGCCCGCTTCGAAAACGACATTGAAATTCTGATCCACCACCCGATTGAATGATGTGATTAACTGGCGTGTACACACACACACACGTTTACTCCCATGTCCTCACGCAGGCACGCCCATCCACTGAGCTCCCTTCCCTCCTCTTCTAGCTCCAGGAAACACTACCAAAAGCCCAGGAACCCTCCCCTTCCTGTCCCGGGGCGGAACTTACGAACTCCGCGCCTGGGCCGGAGAGCAGCGCTGCACACCAGCCTTTTCCGGCTGTAACCGGAAGTTGCTCTAATAGAGGCGGCTCCTTGTCAGGTGACCAAGGTCCGGGTAGGAGGGGTCGGAGGCTCAATCTTTCTGACTGACTTGTGTCTAGGACTGGCTTGTCCACTGTGGGACAGGGGAACGGACTGGTGGCGTCGCTGGCGCTCGCTCTACGGCGGCAAGTACGTAACGAGCTGGGGCGGCGGGTCCGGGAGGCATGGGAACCCCCTTTCCGGGCTCAGGGTCTGAGGCACCTGAAACCAAGGGCCGAGAGACAGTCTGGCTCTGTCCAGAAGAAAGGTCAGACTGGCATCCTTGGGTACCGATTGGGCAAACTAAGGCCCCGGAAAAAGGAAGGGTGCGCACAAGCTCCTTTCCAGACAGGGGCTCGTCCTGACTCCCTGTTAGCCTCGGGGGCGGGACTGTCTCTCAGCTGGGTAGTGATTTGGCTGAGTGGGGAGAGGAGGAGTGTGGTGAACAGAGTTGAGGTGGAGCGTAGGAGACCTGGACTTGCGTTCGCTTACCGGCAGCTAATTGTGCGTTCTAGGCCAAGTCCTTTACCTCACTGAACCTAGTTTCCACACTTGTATAACCGGGCACGGCTTCTCAAAGCATGGCCCTTCACAGCACCTGCTCTGAAGTCCTCCCGGGTGCCGGCTCCACAGCCCTGGACTTTTCCGAAAGCTTGTTTCGAATCTGGGTTTGGATCCTAGGAAACCATTTGAACGTTCTCCTCGGGAGTCCTGTACCTACTAGTGTTTGAAGCCTGTTCATCTGAAATGCCGTCCCGCTGTGAGTGCGGTATTCGATTCTAGGCAGCTGGAGTCGGTTCGATTCTTTGAAACATCTAGTTTAGGAAAGAACGCTGGAGGAGAATATCTTTAAAAGCTGGCGCGGGATGGGAGGGTTGTGTGTGTGTGTGTGGGGGGGGGTTGAGGCAAAGAGGGCTCCCGCTTAATCTTTGCAGCTGAAAGAGGTTCAGCTAGGATTAATAGGTGGGTTCTAGGGAAGACAAATGTGTACTTGCTATTAAGAATTTAACGGAAGAATTATCAGAGGTGACCATTGATAGGATTGAGTGACTCCTTGTGAAAGGAAGTATACAGAAGGAGGTCCTTTCCAATTCGAAAGTCTCTTACTCTGAGTATTTATTTTGACTCTGTCTTTACATTGATAACTCTGTCTTCAGAGTGTATGTGACACTTCTTTTGTTGTCTTGAGACAGGGTCTTAAGGATCTCAGGCTGTCCTCAAGCTCCTTTTGTAGTTCAAGTTGGCCTTGAACTTCTGATCCTCCTGCTTCAGTCTCAGAGTGCTAGATCACACGTTACTTAGTACCATTATGCCTGTTGAATGTGACATTTCTTTGTCTTCCTTTCTCAAGCTCTCCTCCCTAGTCTGTATCTCCTGTCAATAAGGCCAGCACACTTGATCTTATGTAATCTTTTCCTGGTTGTCACAGTTCCCCATCCTTCTTTTCACGGACTTTGGAATGACTTATCTGATAAAAAGTATCTGAAATGTATGTTGTATTAATAAACAGGGGTCCATTACATTGGTTACTTAGTAACTTTTTTGTTGCCTTTAATTTTTTTAAAATTTATTTTAAGTCAGGGTCTCACTCTAACACTCAGCCCAGGCTGAGAACAATTTAGAAAGTCAGTCTCTGTCTTGTCTGTGTCTGTGTCTCTGTCTCTTTCTCTGTCTCTGCCTTTGTCTCTGTCTCTCTTCCTCCCTCCCTTCATCACTCTCTTCCTTTTCATTATGTAGCCCAGAGTGACTTCAAACTCCTGGTCTTCCTGCCTTAGTCTCCCAAATAACTGGGATTGCTTGTGTTCCCCAAGGCTCTGCTTGCCAGTGGACTCTGATTACAGAATGGACGGCTAATTGCAGTTGTTTGGGTCAGTCTTCTCCCTGGTTTATAAACTGAACTTTAACTCTTTCTCTAGCAGTGTGTGTATAGATGTGAGAGAATGTCTTCAGTCTGTAAGCTAGCTATCCATCCAGCATATATGACTAATCTTTATGACCTGACATGCATACCTGTAGTTTTCTAATCTAACATTAGATTTCCGTATTTTGCACTTACCCAGACATCAAGTAGATCACGTTTCCATCTCCTGTTAGAGTATTTAAGAATGCTTATGTTGTCTAGAGAAGCAAAGATTCCATATTATGACCCAATTCTGCTGACACTTCCTCCACAAAACAAAAGGTTGGGATTGAACCAAAAGTTCCTGCCTGTTTTCCTGTTGTTTATGTCGGTGTGAAATGATCATTCAGTTGTTACCTAACATTCAAAGTGGAATGACCCTAGACTCCGCTGTCATCTCAGTGGTGAGGAGAATGCTCCTAATTTGTTGGATTTTTAAAACTTATTAATTTGGATGTTTCTTTTAAAGGGATACTTGATTGATGTGTGTATTCTACTGACCTGTGAAAAAGATTTGATTGTAAAAATAAGTTTATCCTTTCTCAGTGTTTTAATGCAAGTACCATATCAAAGGCACTGACAGTTCTCACAATAAAAATTCGGGCTTTATAATAAGCTAGCATAATACAGTGTTTTGCTTGCTTGTCGTTACTGGACTTATTTGGTATGAAACCTTTTTTTTTTTTTTCCAGTCCTTAACACGGGGCCTTGCTTTGTAGTGTCCAGGGAGGCTTCAAACTTTCTCTCCTGCTTCAGCCTGCCAGGTACTGGGATTACTGATGTACGCTCCCACGTAGGGTTATTTTTGTTTTTGTTTTGTTTTGCTTTGTTTTTGTGTGTGTTTTTCATACAACAACCCTGGCTGTCCTGGAACTCTCTTTGTAGACCAGGCTAGCCTCAAATTCATAAAGATCTGCTTATCTCTGCCTTGCTAGCGACAGAATTAAAGGTGTGCACCACTAAGCCCAGCTCTGTATTCTTAATTTAAAAATGAATTGGCAGAATCTGACCAGAAACTTTGGCTTATAGGCCAAATCTAACCCTATGGGCTGTTTTTTGCATAGCCTCAGAGCTGAGAATGACAGCCCTGCCCACACCCCCATTTAGGCTGATCTCAAATCTGTGTTGATCTTCTTGTCCAAGTGCTAAGATGGCAGGATGTATCATGCTTGTCTGGCTTTAAATTTCTTGTGTTTGAGGGAGGCTGTGCATGTGTGTACAGGCATTTGTTTGCTTTCTGATTTATATACTTTTTTTTTGAGCCAGGGTTGCTCATTTTGCCTAGCAGGGCTGGCTGGCCAGCACGCTCCCAGGATCTACCTGTCTCTTCTCCCAGTCCTCAGGGCTAAGGTTACAGATAATGTGTTGCAGGGTCCAACTTTTACCTGTGTGCTGGGAATCTGAACTCAGATCCTAATGCTTATGCCGCAGCACTTACCACTGAGCCATCTTCCCATCCTGACTTTACATTTCTAAACGTGGAACTAAATCTAAATAATAATCCCAGCACTTGGGAGACAGAGTCAGGTGGATTTCTAGAGGCCAGTCTAGTCTTTTGAGTTTCAGGGCAGCCAAAACTACATAGTGAATCCCTGTTTCAAAATCTCAAAACCAACTAACCCAACAAAACAAACAAACATACATACATACATACATACATACATAGATACATACAGTCATATCTCATGTTATTGATTTACATTTCCCTCATGACTGACGGTATTGAGCATATTTTGGTGTGCTTGACATCATCTGTACATCTTGTAAGTTTTTTATGTTTCATTTATTTGTTTGTTTTTGTTTGTGTCTGTACATGGGCCACAATGCATGTGTGGAGGTCAGAAGATAACTTGAAAGAGTCAGTTCTCTCCTACCATTTGGATATATGGGGACTGAACTCAAGTTGTCAGGCTTGACAGCAAGCACCTTTAGCTGCTAAGCTGTCTCTTGGACCTGCTCATCTGTATATCTTATTGAGAGAATATTCATGCAGTTTCTTTTCTCATTCTGTAATTGGGTTATTTGTTCACATGTACAATTTGGGAAGTAAATATTCAGGGTGTTTCTAGGGTCCCCGAGATCCCTAGAAGTAACTCAGAATGAGTTGAATGGCTCAATGGGACATGCCAATAACTTCCTTAGCTGAATGGAACTGGATTAAGACAAGCTAAAGCACACAATAACTTGCCCGTTTTAGACTGCTGATCATGCAGAGTTAGCATAACCCCAACCACTGCTGATGTGAGCAACCATGTTCCCGCAAAAGGGGTACTACTTGTACCCTGAAAACAGTATCATCCAAGATGAGGTAAGAGCATGTGGAGATCCTCAGTGCTTTTCTGTCACAGAGGGAGGGGTACATGACATTGTAGAGTACTTTGAGTGTAGGCTTAGGGTTGCAGAACTGGTGGCTCACCACACTGCTTCTGACTCCATAGCCTTTGGCCCTAACCACGTCATCTTGAATATTTCTTTTCTTTTTCTTTTTTTTCCTTTGAGACAGGGTTTCTTTGTGTAGCCTTGGTTGTCCCTAGAACTAGCTCTGTGGACTAGGCTGGCCTTGAACTCATAGAGATCCACCTGCCTCTGCCTCCCAAGTACTGGGATTAAAGACATGTGCCAACAATGTTCAGCTGCACAATTTTGAATATTAAAACAAATACTCCAGTCTTTTAAATTGTTAAAGATTACTTTCTTTGGAAATTTTAGAAAAGTATCCCTCTTAGCCACCCTGCCATCTCTGTATTAACTCGAGAGAACCTTTGTTACAGTTGCTCTTAATTCCTTGTTTCTTGTCACTGTGTACAGGGCTGGTGCATGTGTGGGTGCCTGTCTGTCTGTCTGTCTGTCTGCCTGTGAGAAAGTGTACATGCCAAGTGTGCATGTGGAGATCAGAGGACATCCTTGTGTCAGCTCTCTTCTTAACACCTTGCTTGTTTTTCACCATCTATGTCAGGCTAGGTGGCCCTTGAGTTTTCAGAAATCCTCCTCTTTGCCTCCCACCTCCCTGTAAGAGCGCTAGGATTTTGGACACTTTCTTTACAGTGTCTGATCTTCCTCGGGTTCTAGGGATTCAAACTTGGGTTGTAGTGCTTATTTGGCAAAGGCTTTTACCTGTTTAGCTGTCTCCCCAACTCACCCTTGGGTACATTTTTATGGTTGAACCTGTTGGTATACATAGTTCATGTACACTTTTTTCCTTATTGTTTTTTGAGATTGGGTCTTACTAGGTTGCCTAGACTAGTCTCAA